TTTTTGGCCAAAAGAAGGTCCCCTCTTATGCTTTGTCTATCTTTTAATTTTTAAATTAATTGTATCTACAAGTGATGCACCACAAGGATTCAACAAATAAAGGATAAAAGTTTTTTAAAATGGGCAAAACATAGTCCCTCCACCCCCTATCCCTGTTTTTAAATGTCCTCTATTCTGCTGGTAAATTATATTTCTCAAAATTCAGTTCAAGGGTCACCTCTCTGGGAAATATCCTGGAACATAGACCCATGCTTCGTGTGGTCACAGCATACCTCTTCCCGGTCAATCGCCCACGGCTCCCAGTACCCCTCTCTCTGGTGGCTAGAAAGGTCCAGTAGGTGGGAGATTGTAGGGTGGGACATGTTGGGGAGCCAGGCATCTGTCCCCTCCCTCTGCTTCCAGGGCATGGATCTTCTGGGCCAGTCGTGGTTGCATTAGGTGGGCCTGTCATGGTTCCACCACCTCCTCCCTTAGCCTGCCGCCATCTTACTAATTTCTGATGGCCTCATCATTCCTGTTTCAGTACCTAGTTTTATCAAGTGTGTAACCGATTCCCTGTATGAAATTCTTTCTCTTTGAAAATCCTTGAGGGCTTCTGGTTTCCAAACTAAAGCCTAACTGATACCCATAAGACAGGTAGGAGAGCATGGTGGCCAAGAGGATGGGTGGTCATATTAGTCTGGGCTAAGTCCAAATCTTAGCTCTACCCCTGGCTATGTGACTTTGGGCAAGTTACTTAAATGCTCTGGGGTTGAGTTTCCTCATCTATAAAGTAAGAATACTATTTATGACCTGAGAGGGATGGTATGTGGTTAACACAGAGCCTGGCACTTAGTTGGGCCTCAGAAATGCTTATCTGCTAATATTACATTATGGTCTGAGAAGTGTGTCTGACTGAGGAGGTCCATCTGCAGGCCTGGTATGGTGCAGACTTGCCCACAGGGCAACCCAGACTGGCTGAAGTGATCTCTGTGAGGAAGCTGAGGGTCAGAGACATTAAGCTATTTGCCCAAGGCCACACAGACCATAAGTTGTAGGATCAGGATTCAAACCCACTGCAGTATGACTCCACAGCCCAGGCTGTTAACCGCCCTCGTCCCAGCTCTTGTTCATCCTGCCCACCCCTCGGACTGGGCCCCTACTCCTGCCCTTCCCCTTGGCCTGGGGAAAGCCAGTGCTCATCTGGTCTGTGGGGTCTGGGGCTGGAGATGGACTCTGCTGATTGCTCAATTGCTCAGGCAGGCAGTGCCCCGCCCCCCCGCTTTTGATTGAGATATAATTGACATATGACATTATATTAGTTCCAGGTATACAACATAATGAATCAGTATTTGTATATATCGCAACATGATCACCACAATAAGTCTAGTTAGCATCCATCACCAGACACAAATTTTTTTTCTTGTGATGAGAACTTTTGAGATCCACCCTCTTAGCAACTTTCAAACATGCAATGCAGTATTGTTAACTATACCTGCCATCCTGTACATTACATCCCTATGGCTTGTTTATTTTATAACTGAAAGTTTGTACCTTTTGAACCTCTTCACCCATTTTGCTCCATTCTCATCCCCACCTCAGTTCTCTGTATCTGTGAGCTTGATCATTTTTATTAGTTTTCACATAAAAATGAGATCATACAGTATTTGTCCTTTTCTGTCTGATTTATTTCACTTATCACAATGCCCTCAGGTCTATCCACGTTGTTAAAATAGCAAACTTTCTTTTTTATGGCCGAATAATATTCCATTGTGTATGTATATCGTATTTTTTTTGTCCATTAATCCATTGGTGGACACTTAGGTTGTTTCCGTGTCTTGGCCATTGTAAATAATGCTGCAATGAATGTGGGGGTGCAGGTAGCTTTTCGAGGTAGTGTTTTCCTTTCCTTTGGATATATACCCAGAGGTGGAATTGCTGGATCATATGGTAGTTCTATTTTAATTTTTTTGAGGAACTTCCATATTGCTTTCCATAATGACTGCACCGAATTACATTTCCACCAACAGTACATATGGGTTGCCTTTTCTTCACATCCTTGCCAATGGTTATGACTTGTCTTTTTGATGGTAGCCATTCTTACAGGTGAGAGGGATATCTCGTGGTTTTCAAATCAGGGCTTTCTGGGGTGGTCTCAACCATGCCCATTGCTTCTACTTTACTGACAATGTAACCATTAGCCTCTAGAGCCGCGGTCTGCAGTACCCCATTAGGGGAAGTTGCCAAGTCCTAGAAGTGAAGCACCATCCTAACCCGCTCTCAGGGCTCCCTCCCCGACCCCAGTGCCCTCACCTGCCCTTGTGGTGCTCTGGCCTGCCATGCTTTTTATGTGACAGTTATTAGACTGTTTTCTTGCCAACTCAGATGGGCAGATAAGTTGATTGGAGTCTGGAGAGAAAATGGGTGACTTTGGCATCCACATTTGACTCTAGTAAAAGAGAAAGATTGTTAAGTGGGATAATAAGGAAGGTCTTGGAGCCCAGAGTAAGATTCAGTTGGCTTGAATCATCAGGGAAAGCATCCTGGGGGTGGCATCATCTGGACTGGGTTAAAGGCTGCATAGGTTCTAAATAGGCAGATTGGATCATGAGTAAGGGAATTGGAGGAGCACAGAAGACTGTGAGTCTGAGTCCAGGGAGCAGGATGGCCCTGTGAGGCTGGAGCATAAGGTGTGTGGTTACGAAGGCAGTAGTGGTAGGGGGATAGCATGTAGGGGCACCAGGAAAAGGTAGGCAGGTGCCTCCAGGTCAAAGAGGGCTAGAATGTTGTTCCAAAGGCAAAGGAGGGAGTGTCTTTTATCACTCCCTATGGATTACAAATAAGGCAAAGCCATGACCAGATCTGCTATTTAGTTCAATCTAGCTTTGTGGAGAGAATGGGTTGGGGCGAGACATTATAAAGCTATTTCCAAGCAAGAGATAATGTTAAATTCGACTGGGTAGAGGCCGTTACAAGTGACACTTGGGGGACTGGCTGTGGGTGTGAGGGGAGGTGACTGGACATAGGCAGCCTGAATGCATTCACTGAGATGGAGAATGGAGAGGAAGTGTGTACTCGGGCCTCCTTTCCAGAGAAAAGCTGCTGGGAGGAGAGTGGCTTCACTGAGGCCTTGCTTCCTCAGGCCACCCTAAGCCAACTGGAACTCCTTCTATGGCCGAGCTGTACACCAGAGCTCTTGTTGCCCAGCCTCCTCAGAGCTGCACTGCAGCCAGAGGTTCTGCTTACCCAAACTCACTCTCTTTCTTCATCCCCTTTATAGATGTCACACCTGCAGCAGGGCATGAGGCTTTCTCTATTTATTCTTGCTCCCCTCACCCTTTATCTGAACAGGCATTTCTTTCAATAATTCTCTTCTATGTTTACCTCTGTCTCGGCATCTGCTTCCTTGAGAATCTGCACTGGCATGAGAAAGAACAAGGTGAGTTGTAGATGGGCTGCACGTGAGGACATCCTTGGAAAAGATGTGAAGAAGCAAGGAGAGGGTGGTGTGAAGGTCACAGGAGAGCTCGCCCCAGGGACTGTCTGGAGTGGGAAGAGAGAACAGACCGGGGGAAGAGGAGTCTTACAGGAGAAAGAGAAAGAAAGGACAAAGTGGTGGGAAGAAAACCAGCAAGTTTATTCTTGTGCAAGTCACAGGAATAGAGAGTTTAAAGAAGAAAGTGGGTGCCAGGACAATTCAATGGGGGAAAGAAAGGTCTTTTCAACAAATGGTCCTAGAACAATTGGATCTCCACATGCAAAAGAATGGAGTTTGGCTCCACCTCATATCATACAACAGAATGAGCTCAAATAAATAATAGACCTAAATGGAAGAGCCAAAACTCTTAGAAGAAAACATGGGAGTAAATCTTTGTGACATCAAAAGCAAAAGTGACAAAAGGAAAAAAAATAGGTAGATTGGGCTTCTGTCAAAACTTAAAAACTTTTGTGCTGTAAACAATACCATCAAGAAAGTGAAAAGAATGGGAAAAAGTATTTGCAAGGCATACATTTAATAAGAGACTTGTATCTAGAATATATAATGAACTCTTACAACTCATTAATAAAAAGGCAAATAATCCAATTATTTGGCAAAGAAGCTGAATAGACATTTTTTCAAAGAAGATATACAAGTGGCCGATACGCACATGAAAGATGCTCAACATCACTTATCTTTAGGGAAATGCAAATCAAAACAACAGTGAGGTATCACTTCATACCCATTAGGATGGCTATAATAAAAAAGACAGATAACTAGTGTTGGTGAGGATGTGGAGAAATTGGAAACCTCATACACTGCTAGTGAGAATGTAAAATGGTGCGGTCACTTTGGAAAACAGTTTGGCGGTCCCTCAAAAAGTTAAACATAGAGTTACCATATGACCCAGCGATTCTGTCCAAGAAAGGTAAAAACATATGCCCACACAAAAACTTGTTCATAGATATTCACAGCATTATTCTTTATAATAGCCAAGAAGCAGAAACAATAGAGATTTTAATCAACTAATGAATGGATAAACAAAATATAGTTTGTACAATGGAATATTATTTGGCAATAAAAATAAGTGAAGTACTAATAAATACTATAACATAGATGAAAACATGCTAAGTGAAAGAAGACAGACACAAAAGGCTGCATATTTTTTGATTCTT